GGCTTACGCTACTAAGATGCAATTTTAACCTATTACTTCCTTAGAACTATATATCCATTTGGGATAAACAAAGCATATCAGTGTATGATAGCACGCCTGGGACGAATATCGTTCTCTTGAGTGAGTAATGTACATTATTAATTTAAATACAATGAAATAAACTCTAAATCTTATAAACTTCATGGAAATATATTTTACTGAAATGTATGAATACTAGTAATTAACTTGCTTCATATTATGTGAAATCAAATTCCTTTTTCCTCTGAACCAAACAGTGTAGTGAACCAAGCAATTTTCACCTGTTTGAGTCAGCACATATGCCTTATATATGATACTCTAATAAGTAAATATATTTTTCATCACAATATATCTTATTGTCAGTATATACCCCAACTTAATGTCTTAGCATGATGGAACACAACTATATTATAAATATATAGGCCGCACTTCCCACAATTTTAATTGAAATACATTCAGTTGATATTGAAAATAAATTTAATCTCGTACTCTACTATATATGGGTCTTCGAAGTTGAGCGAGTTCTAAAAACAATGGTTTTAAGAATGCTTTTAAATCCAGAGATTGGTCTTAGATGGATATTGTTAATTAATAAACTTTATTTTGCAAAATTAAATGGAATATATATTTAGGAAATAAAAGACAGTTAAAGTCATCGTTCAATTCAGACATTCAATTAAGCATGCTAACATACTTTTCATTTCGGTTTAAAAGGCGTGCGCAAGGGAATTGTAAATTGGCTTCACCGGATACCGGAGGAGGGTTGACTTAGACTTGTGATTGTTGGATTGTGCGAAGAAGAACTCGGCTAACTGTCTTGAGACTCCGATGATTTCGTGCTTGGCTTTCGTCTGTTATATGATGAAGATCGTCAGAGCCAGCTACCGTTAGTTATGAACCATCAACAAAAAACACCAAATCAAGAAAGGTGGCCGCCTGAAAGTCTTCTTACATTTTATGTTTCACTCTGCAATCCTAGCGAGGCATTCTATGATTTTTCGTTTATAAGTTGGGTTTATAGACCACCAGTAAATCAGTTTTATGAGATTTATTCACTCTCGTTTACGATTATGGAGGTAGTTGAATTTTTCCATAATGATATGAGTAGAGCTGACACTTCACATATGAATTTCACATGGCCCTGCTTTCCAAAAATGTGCTATCATCTTGAGTGAACTACAGTATCAACCTCGCACCTAACACACCATCGAGACTCAAACTGTGGCAGTGCTTAATATAGTTTCAACATGCTGACCATTAAGCCGTATTACTAGGAGTACCCTTGGGCCACAGGGCGGATGTGAATTTTAAGGAAGGCCAGCCATTTTCCCATAACACACTCTGTAGGGATTAGCAATGAAGTAAAGTCATATTTGCTACAAGAATCGACTTGATAACTTATTTTTCGCCTATAAATATGCTTTCGGGACTACTAGAAATCAGCTATATAAAATATATTCACTGCAGTCCATAACGAGTGAGAACAGATTTTTGGAAAGCAAGGCTATCTGAACTTTGTATGTAAAGCATCAGCTCTACTAACATCATTGTAGGAAGATTCAACTGCCAGTCCTTCATCACCTTTAACGAGATAGGGTGAGTACACCTCATATTTAATGATTTTTTATGTTATATGCTTGCCTTAGATGCATGTATACGAGTGAAGTTGATGCAGGAAGAGGAAAGAATGCAGTCAAAACTTTTCTTTATGTAAATAAATTAGCATATGATCTTGTAATCCTAGAAATTGTTTTAGCTTCTCGGATGTGTGTGCTTTGTGTGTATGCAATACTCACGAATTAGTTGGCAATTTTGAGTCCCAAACTAGATTTCAGGTTAGTCAATTCTTATCCTCTTACTCGGTGGCTCTTCCTGTTCCCTTCCTCTCTTTCTTTATAAATCAATCCAATAGCCAGAGATAATTCTTGCCTAGTCTCCTACACTTGTTCCTCTTATTCAGGATGCTTTTTGTGTTATTATTTTCAATCTACACCTTAATCTTCCGCTTAAAAATGAGGTCCCCGAATCCATAAACCTTTGCAGGTGTTTTTATGTTTTGATAATCACTTATTTGTGAGTCGACAAGTCTTCACCACAGAGACACTACCACAATAGCATACAACTTTATGACAATCTGATGTGCAGAGGACGTCTGAATATTCGATAAAAGAAGGCATGATCGAGGAATTCGTTAGTATTTCTTTGTACATTATTCTGATTCTCTATTTAATCAGTAATTTTTACATCTTCGAAAGTTTACAGGACGGTAGCATTAAGAACTTGGACGAAGAGCCGTCTAATTCTATGTTTTGTCCCAAATACTCGTTTCCTTTCATCCTATTTCTAAGTTGTTAGAAATTATTGACAATTAGTCCTAACGGATAGTTGTTAAACAACTAATATTTTTCTTATACTTAGACATATGGCCACTACAGGACACCTGAGCGAATAGTATAAAACCCTATTTTTTATCGAATATGGAAACCCCACAATTAAGTGGGAGATCAGGGAGTCGATTGAAATTAACACCACAATGAACATCCGGAATAAGAGGAACGAGTGTAGGAAACTAAGCAAGAACTAACTCTGGCTGCTGGATTGATTTAGAATGAGAAAGAGGGAGCAGGAAGAGCCATAGAGTAAGAGAAGAAGATTTGACTAGCCTCAAGTCTAGTTTGGGGCTCAAAATTGCCAAATAACTCGTGATTTTTGCATACACACAATGCACACGCATTCACGAATCTAAAACAAGCCTCAGGAATACAATATCATACGTTGGATTATTTACTTAAAGGAAGTTAGGATCGCATCTGCTCACCTTCCTGCATCAAATTTCACTCGTTTAATGCATGTATGACAAGCATAAAACAGCCAAATAAATAATGAAATACCTCACTAAGATCTCAAATTGATATATATAAAGTAAGTACACTTTTGGACGGCCACCTTTCTTGATTTAGCGATTATTCATAATTAATCTTTTCTAACTTTGACGATCTTCGTCACATGACAGACGAAAACTCAGCACGGATTCACTTGGGTCGCAAAGCGGTTAGCTTGGATCTTCTTCGCACACTCTAACAGTCACAAGTCCAAGGCAACCCTTTTTCAGTATCTAGTAAGGCCAATTTACAAATCCTTTATACCCGCATTTTAAAACGAAATTAAAGCTATACTAGCGTGAATCTAGTAAGTAATTTTTCAAAACCAAGCTTCTAATTCTCACTTAAGCAGTTTATATGAACTTCTTTGAATAGAACCAGCAAGCCAATATCATATATAAAAATGCTCTTTATTCTCCTCATTCATAGGTAACTTTGTTTCAGAATTCCGGTTGGTCGGTATTTATGAGCAAAGCATTTATACCCTAGAGCCAAACAAGATACATGTTCGCAACCTACAGGTATTTATGTGATTTTTGCTTTGAAACTTTTTTCACTTGATTTTTTGTCCAGTTTTATTGCACCAATAGTAAGTATATATTAACCACTATACATTAAATACATTACAATCGCCCTTATTATTATTTATTATTATTTTTGATCCGCCTTGAGATTTAAATTTACATTAAATCTTTGTGCCACTCATTTGAGTTGGTGTAGAGGCTTATCTCTTTCCCAAACTTATGTACCTTTGTACCCTCACATCTTAAGTTCGATTTTTGCCAGCTGCCTCAAAGAACCTGTGTAGAGTTTCACCTTTAGTCCAATGTGGATACGTAAGTGTTTCTGGAATAAAAGATAGTGAGAGTAGCTTTACAAAAGAAGGCATCATATTCTTTATCTCGAGTCTATGAAGCAGGTATATTTTGCTTGAGATACCTACCCTTTAACTCTATTTACTTTCAAATTTAGGGAACAGTTAAGCAATTAATCAGTCTCAATGATCATGAAGGAGCCGTTATTCTAGCTGAGGTCTGCCATGGATATTTGATCTGCGCTACAAACCTTACTTATCTACGACTCTTCGATCTTACTAGACGGTGAGCCACATGGTTATTTATATTAGTCGTTGATGAGCGGGAGCCCAGATCATATCTATTTTATGGATTTAGGAACATATAACATTTACACTTAAAGGCATGGTAAACTTCTACAGGTCGACCTCCAGATATTATTCTTTAAGGAGAAAATAGAGGAGGCGAATATGGGCACTTGGGGGTCATCTACTATTATTTATTTAGATCTAGTATTTGATACTATTTCTCCCTATTCCCTCAAGCCTGAGGATACGCTGATTCTGTCGTACATATCATTTCTTTTGAAAAGGCGAATGGAAGTTATTCGCAATTTTGC